GTGCGATCTAAATGAGATAAATATATATATAGATGTAGATAGATAGATAGATAGATAGATAGATAGGTAATGTATATATTTAATTGCTTTATTCAGGATTGTATTAACATCTATCCATGTTTATATATATATATATATATGTGTGTGTGTGTGTGTGTGCGCGCGCGTGTGTGTGTGTTAGTGTGTGTGTGTATACCTAAGTATAGGATTTGTGTATACGGAATAAATTCCAATAACCAACAAATACTATTCTTAAAGGAGTGCTCAATACAGAGTAGAGCAAATATAATTATTCATTTGAAAATTATAAGATAAATATGTTATAAAATCACTACAAAAATAGCCATTTTGTTTCAACACTTCTGGTGTTTTATCAAGTGATGGTGTTGAATGTAGAATAAAAGCTTTTATTCTACATTCACATCATATATATATATATATATATATATATATATATATATATATATATATATATATATGCGATAAGAAGCAAATAGGAGACGTTTATAAGTCTAAGAAATTTCGCTTTTTATTTAAGCTTCATCAGAAAATGAAATATTTCTTCCTCTGATGAAGCTTCAATGAAATCAAAAACTAAAAGGTTTATAAGCATTTGCTATTTGTTCCTTATCCTATCATTCCATATTTGATCTATATTTCACTAGAAATAAGAAAATATAGATATACCACAACACACACACACACACACACACACACACACACATATATATATATATATATATATATATATATATATATATATATATATATATAAAAGATGGACAGTGAGATCAATGTTGATGCTTCAACGCAATGATTACCCATAAATACAGCATACTTTATAACTATATTTTTATCATATAATATACATATAGATAGATAGATAGATAGATATGGCTTATATGTATATACATGTCGTATGGCTTGAAGCTTCCATCACCATTCAATATTGATTACGATGACCACACACACACTATATATATATATACAAAAAACGTATCCCCAATGTTGAATAATATTCGCTCATAAACACAGCAAATACTAAACAATATAATTTTATTTATACTTAGATATATACTTAACATTATAATTATATATGTATATATAAATATATATACTTATATATGTGTGTGTTTACATAATGTATATCATTAAGTCTGTAGCTTACACAGACTCAAACATATATATACATATACACACGCACACACACACACACACACACACACACACACACACACATATATATATATATATATATATATATATATATATATATACTAACTCTGTCTCAACTACAATCTAAAATAATTTATCTAAACTCAACATAATTTTTTTCACAAATGCATCTATAATATTAAAATTCTTAATCAATACAAAACAGAACAACCAATCAAACCTTGTAGCAGAAATTTACTTTATCACCGCTAAGGATTGCCAGGAAGAATATACTGGAGGAACCTCAAGAATTTGAAATAAAAGAATATATGAGCTCAAAAGAAACGTTTTAAAAACTACAAATTGTAACTCCTCACAAACAGGCTAAAGACATAAAATTTTTACCCCTCTTCTTGAAACAATCAGTCTATTATATAAAAAAATTCAAGCAACCAAGTTAAAAAAAAAACTAAGGGAAGCAAATATGGCTGACCAACTTATGACCAGTCTAGTTATAAATTCACTTTACACTAACGATCCGATTGAAAAATGCATAAATTTCTTTTAAAAAAGCATCAAATTAAAATCAAAATTAAACCTCTCCCTACCAATAGGCAAAATAATAAAAAAAATCTACCTTCTCATCAGCAATTTCATATTTAATAATTATGACAAAAAAAAAAGATTTTGATTAACAGTGGTATCGCCTCATAGTGGTGTGATGGCATGTATTTTCTTAAAATTTTTCGAATTCAAAATATTTTACATAAATTATCAACATACTTCCAATATATTGATGATGCTCTATTAATATAGCCTCGTAATACTGATTTACCTGATCATGTAGATAAACTAATCAAAGGCAAACATACAATAGAATATATATATATCCAAAATGGAAGAATACAATACGTTACCTTTCTAAATATCATGCTACACAGCGTTAACAGCAGATTAAAACTTAGTGCCCATCAAAAATCAACTAATAAAAATGATCTAATATATTTCTATACCCATCATAACAACAAAATAAAATCCGGAACAATTATCGGGTTCTACTTGAGCACTGAAAATTTGCAGCCCACAGTATTTACACGAAAAGATAAAATGCCTTGTAAATATTTTCAAGATCCTCCAATACCGTAATTATTTCATATTCAATGCGAAACAAAAGGCTCATAAAATTACCCATAAAGTTTGCCAGGAAGAATATATTGGAAAAACCACAAAAGGTTTAAATAAAAGATTATATGAACACAAAAGAGATATTTTCAAAAACAACACATTAAATGCATTAGTCGCTCACAGTAATGAGACTGGCCACAATTTTGATATAAGAACATGTTATTCTGATTAAAAGAGAAACCAATTCACTATGACGAAATTGTTTAAAAAGTGTTTTTTTTTTTAGTTCATCGACAGTAAATTTGCATCCATGATCTTACAACGTTTCACCATTCTTGGCAGATCTTCTGTCATCACAATGTCGGGTATTTATAACAAAGATGATGGAATCAAAAAGAAAACGAATCTAAATGAAATTGTCTAGAGTATATACCCAACACAATTATTTTTAAATTTCCATCATCTATCGTTGGATACGCATGTGTAGTCACATCAACATATACAAACCTAGCTCACTTTGTCATGCATCTTTCCTTCGAAACTGTTCTTCGTATATAAAAATTTATATATATTATCTCATTATATATATATATATATATATATATATATATATATATATATATTGAGACATGTTTCATTGAATAATTTAGACAAGTTTTGTTTACTTATTTTCATTTGGATCCTTTCATATTCACGGATAAGATTTTTGGTTTCATTATTAAAGGATGAGAGAAAATCGCCGTGTTGATAGATATTATTTTATTCCGAGTACTTTCGACATAGGACAATGTCATCTTCAGGCTGTTGTATATTTCAAGACGAATATTGTAGTATTCATCATTTTCAAGGGCAAAATTTATTTCGTTCATCTGAAATATTTACTTTTGAAGTGAAGAACGCTGAGTGAGTACACGATCGCTTGACGACCACTTCAGGGGAGGTAACTAAGAAGACTATTATTATCTTCCAAAAATTGATATAAAAACAATTTCTGGTTTTAAATAATCTGTAAAATGTTGATAAGCCCAAAAAAAAACAAATCAATAATTGTGAGATAAGCCGTTTCCATATAGGAAATATTAGTCATTGACTGAACAATTTGCGTTATTGTCGACTGGAATTTATAAGATCTCTCTGTTGTAACCTAGAGAAGGTTACTGGATAGAATAATCATACGAAGGTTGGTAATGAACGATAATACTTAGGACAAGAACAGCACATATAAGATTCACCAGTGGCGCGTAGAAGGTCATCTACTCGTAATGAGTCAAGTAAATTCCACAATGATCTGCAGACGGTATCAACCAACTGTCCCACGCAGTAAGATGTGGCAGAAGGCCGAATTTAATGTGTGGTTGCCGATCCTGTAGGCTCAACCAAAAATTCCCCATAAAATGGGATCGGGTAGCTGTTTCCCGAGACGGGCCTCTGTCCTTAGCTCCTGGGGAATCCTCTCTGATGTATTTATGGGAACGGGGGTATACCCATTATCGTCCGTAGGCATGCTCCAACACTCTCCATTAAAACAGTATTTTGTTCAAGAAAATGGGCTTCTCAAGTCTTCTTGCCCATTTTTACTCACAAAACAATGTATAATTCTTAAAATCCAGAATATATTTTGGCTTTCAATAATCCACCTAAAGTTGATAAATCGTAAAAACAAATCGATCTCTTCATGCAGTATTATGCTAAATATAATTCCTATTGATTTTTTCAAAGAAAAAATTTTAAACATCAGGAAATACCTAAGACGTAACGTATCACAGCTCTCCACTATTTCCTTTTTCTTTATTATCTGTGAGTAATGAAGTGGGCCTCTCGGCTAATGAATCATGAATCACTCATAGTTAACATTGAATTTTATTCAACTCCAGATTTCATCACGCTCGGTCAGTCCGTTGTATTTGCCTTCGTAAAGCTTCCCATATTCTAAGTCTGTGGTGTCTGAGAAGTGTGTGTGTGGGGGGGGTCTGTATCCCTTTCGCTGTCTAACGTTCTAAAACTCTTGCGCGCACATATTAAGCCGGGTAAATCCCACAGGTGTTCACTTCTAAAGTACCCAATGGCTATGGCTGAAATGTAAATCTACGCCCCCAGCAGAGGGTCATCTCAAGTCATCTTTTCACCTGGCTTCTTTTACCAGTGTGCATCTGAGATAAAAAAAAAAAAATTATTTACTCTACCTACAAGCATACCATTGTCCCTGCCTTTCTTGTTTCTGTCTCACTCAACCAATATTATGTCCAAAAAAATCTTACGATCTAAAATATTTTCTGGCTTTAAATAAACTGTAATAGGTTGACAAGCCGTAGAAAACGATTCTATAAATCAATAAATAAATGCGTTATGACTGATCTAGACACCGAAGTATTTTAAGTTTTTAGTATTTAGTAAATTCTATTTTTTAAGCATTTCAGTCCAAGCAAGGCGAGATTGCCACTAGTACGCAGGGAGTTACAGAGAATGAACGTAACAGAAAAGACTGAATATAGGGATAAAAAGAAGAAAGGGGGGGTTCAAGACATCAGAAGACGTCGATTAACATCACTTTTAAATTTTTGAAGATTATAGTTATCAGGGAAGCAAGTAAGGGGAAAGGAGTTTCACTGCAGGGAAGTGCAAGAGAAGAAGCTGTTGGAGTAGAAAAGGCGGTTACATTTAACTGTTTCAACTGTCGGAAAGTGAATGAATCCGAGATGCCAGATCAGGACCGATAACAT